CAGGCTGGCCTCAAACTCACACATGCACCTGACCCTGCCACCCTCAAGGTGTGGGCCACCACAACTGGCAGAGTTCCTTTCTTTTTAAAAACAGACCAAACCTCACTTTGGGTTGAGCTTTACGGCACAGACCTGTAATTAATTCCATAGGCTGATCCATAGGAGGAGCCAGCAGGAAGAAGGGACCCATTGGAGTGAAAGGATTTCCCTGAAGCACAGATCAAGTCAGATTCATTCTCTGTAGAAGGGAGAGAGCTGCTGGGGAAGGAAAGTGAGAGTGCAGCAAGGAGAGGCTTCCAGACAGACTTCTCTGCTGTGCCATCGCTGTGGCACAGAATGTAGTGGGTTTGCCGAAGTTCATCGTCAGTATACTCAGACAAAACGTTTGGGCAAAGGTGCTATCTGCATGCCCTGGTGTGGTTGGTGCTTGTGGTGTTTTCAGACAGATCTCACTGTGGTGTTCCCTGGTGGCCTGGACTCAGGATCCACATGATCACCTTGCCTTTGTCTACCACATAGCTTGAATTATAAAGACTTGTGCCCCTTTGCTTTTTAAATGGACATAATCCCTGAGGTGTAGATATTGCTGCATTTTGCAGCTTTTCTTTTGTTTAACTTTTTTTTTTTTTTTTTGAGACAGGATTTCTCTGTGTAACCTTGATTGTCCAGGAACTTGCTCTGTAGACCAGGCTGGCCTAGAACTCTCAGAGTCAACTTGCCTCTTTCTCCTGATTAAAGGCATCTGCTACCACCACTCAGCTTTTGCATTTTTTCAGCACCATATCTTCAAAGGCATCTAGGAAAACAGTATCCACCTAAATCATTCTGAAGTTGAACCTAGGTATAACTTAACTGGTTTCCTTTCACAGTAAGACCATAACAAGTCCTAGAAATTGACAACTTGGTTTTTTTCCCCTCTCATTTCAGTATAAAGAATGAACAGAGCCAGCCAGAGTGCTCAGTGGGTAAAGGAGCTTAGAGTCAAGCCTGATGATTGAATTTGATTCCTGAGACCCACATGGTATAAGGAGGACACGGACTCCTCCAAATTGTTCTCTGGCCTCAAGGTGTGCCATGGCAAACACATAGATATTTGAACACACATTCAAATAATAATATAGAAGTGATTTAAAAAAATAAATAGGTTCAAATGTGGTGGTACGCACCTGCAATTCTGGCACCTAGGACATAAAAGTGGGAAAGGATTTGAAGGCCAAGCTTAGTTACATATTGAGTTTTATGCATAGGACATTTAAAAAAAGTGAACACATAAAAATTACCCAAAAAAAGCAAAAGAGAATAGGGTTGGAATATGCAGACAACATCACCACCTTACTTTGTCATACATTAAAGAAGAATCCTTGGAAATCCTTCCACTGATGAATGGAAACTGAAAACATACCACACAGAAGTGGGGAAGAGAATTGAGTCTACAGATGCTGGGAGAGTGGGGAGGAAGAGGGATAGAAAACGGATGGGTGTGGAGTATGGAGACCTTGTTGGGAAGAAGTTCTAGTTTCCGGTATCACTTGTGGCTGCAATGAACAATTTAGTAAACATTTCAATATACCTAGCTAGAAGAGGAGTATGAAGGTTGACAACATGAGGTTTAAAGTGATGAATATGATAACTACTCTCATTATACATTATATTCATATATTGAAATATCACATTAAACCCAAAATTGTGCAGTTATTTAATGTCAGTTAAGCATAAAAGCACACAGGGAGCGGGGGCATTGAATCCAAGCACAGAGGCAGAGCAAGACAGATATCTAAGTTCAGGCCAATTGATCCACATTGAGAGTTCCAGGACAGTCAGGACTACAGAGAGACTCTGCATCAAAATAAATGAATAAATAAATAAATAAATAAATAGAATTAAAGCAAACAACTTATATCTCATCAGTTTAGAGACAGAGACAAATTGATCTGAGAGAGTTCAGTAACACCCTGGGAACAAAAGACCACGTAATATGACAGGGTAACAAAAATAAATTTTAAAAATTAGGAGACCTGGAGGTTTTCCTAGGAAATATGGTTAGATTTCAGGGGAAGCATTAAGAGTATTAAATATCTAGCCATAGAAGAAAAAGGAAGACAAATACTAAAAGCGAGATGAGATTCCTAGAACCTCACATATTGATGAAAGTTTATTAATTTATTTTATCAAAAAGAGTATCATGTTGCCGGGTCTCTAATTCCTATGTAGGGGAAGAAGACTGTGGTGATATTCTGTTTCTGCCCCAATCAAAAAAGCTTGCCTGAAGATCAGAGGGCAGATCCAGTCACTAGTTCAGCACAGAGGCCAGGGACTGTTGGCACCTAACTCTAAGCCCAGCACTTGGGAGGAGGAAGCAGGAAGATCAGGGTGGGGTCGGGCCACACCCTTAATCCCAGCCCTGGGGAGGTGGAGACAGGTATATAAGGCAGATGGAGACAGGATCTCAGCTTATTCAGTCTGAGGATTCCTAGAGACGGGATCTCCCCCTTTCAGCTGAGGCATTGAAAAGGTAGGTGAGAGTTGGCTGTGGATTGCCTCTTGGTCTCTCTGAACTTCGGGCATTTAGTGTCTGTGATATCTGGCTCTGGGTTTTTACTGTTGAAACCATTTAGAACTGGTGCTACAGCTGGTGCCCAGTGTGGGGCAAGAAGCCAGGACCCCAAGGTAAGAGTCTCTCGCTCTACCCCACGAGCGAGCTAGCTCTCTTCTGAGGCAGCATCTTTGAAGACAGGAGTTCAATCAAGGTCCCGGGGTGGACTTGAGAGCCAGCTGCAAACGCCAGGGTTCAGAGCGGCGCCCAGCCCACAGAATCCTCTGCCACCATGCCCTGTGTGCACTATAAATTTTCCTCTAAACTCAGCTATGACATGATCGTCTTTGATGGGCTCCATATCTCCCTCTGCGACTTAAAGAAGCAGATTATGGGCAGAGAAAAGCTGAAAGCTGCCAATAGCGATCTGCGGATCTACAACGCAGAGACTGAAGAAGAATATACTGATGACAGTGCGCCAGTTCCTAAATACTCATGTGTGATTGTCAGAAGAGTTCCTAGTGGAGGCGTTAAGTCGGCAAGGAAGACGCACGCTCTATGTGGAACTGAACCAGCGATGGGAACCACAGAGGCAACCGATGACTCTTGTGCATCTATTTCTCTGGCCCAGCTGACAGAGACTGTCAATCTGGCTGAAGCCAATGCTTCGGAGGAAGATAAAATCAAAGCGATGATGTTGCAATGTGGCCGTGAATACGACCCAATCGGTTCCGTGAAGAAACCTCTGGGTCCACCACCTCCGTCTTATACCTGTTTTCGTTGTGGTGTCCCTGGTCATCATATTAAGAGTTGCCCAACAAACGGGGATAAGAACTTTGAATGTGGCCGGAGAATCAGAAGGAGCACTGGAATTCCTACCAGTTTTCTGACTGAGGTGAAAGATGCTCACACGAAGGGTGCAATGCTCACGAGCACTGGAAAATACGCAATCCCAACCCTAGATGCAGAGGCCTATGGGATCGGGAAGAAAGAGAAGCCACCCTTCTTACCAGATGAACAGTCGTCGTTGTCGTCATCTTCATCATCATCTTCACCAGAAGAAGAAAATCCTGTTCCGGAGGAGCTCCTGTGCCTCATCTGCAAGGACATCATGGTGGATGCTGCTATCATCCCCTGCTGTGGAAACAGTTACTGTGACGAATGCATTAGGACAGCACTCCTGGAATCAGATGAACATAGGTGTCCAACATGTCGTCAGAACGATGTTTCTCCGGATGCTTTAACTGCCAACCAGTGTCTAAGACAGGCTGTTAAGAACTTCGGAAATGGAACTGGCTATACCAAAGGACCTGGCAAACGCTTCCCTCCACCCCCACCCCCAATACCACCACCGAGACCGCTGATTCAGAGGAGCCGGCAGCCTCTGGTGGGAACTCGGGTAGGGAGACAGCAGGATCCTCTGCGGATCCCAGTGACATCTTCCTCAGCACTCCCAGCTCCCTCTGTATCTTTGTTAATTTCAAGTCCGCCCCCCTTGGCTCCCTCTTTGCCTGGAACTGCATCCTCTGTCCCAGCTCCGGTACCTGATTTGACGGCCACAGTGTCCGTAGCAGTCCATTCGGAAAAGTCAGATGGCCCTTTGCGGGATTCGGCTGATCAATTATCGCCAGCTGCAGCGGTGGAACCAGAACATTCCAAGGGAGCCTCCTGGGTTGCAACTGCTGCTCTTACTGAGGAAAAGGGTCACGAGGTGCCTGTCCTTGCAACTCCGTCTCGCTTGGCACAGTCATCATTGCAGGGCCAGGGGATCCCCACAACTGGTCCGGTCAGCCAAAATGCTGCTGCTCCTGCAGGTGGTGGACCACCAGGTTGGGGACATTTCAGGGAGCTTGGCTACCCGGTTCCTCCACCACAGCCAGTCAGAAGAGGGGAAGGAAGTTGTTACAGGAGCACAGAGCGCCACAGGCCACAGCACAGCCCAAGATCCCAGAGGGCTCAAGGCCCATCCCTGGCAGCAACTCCAGTCTCTGTGCCCCTTCCTCCAGGTGTCCCTCCCCCACACTTCTCTCCTGGCTTCCCTCCTGAGCAGCCCCCGACTTCAGGATATAGTGTCCCTTGCCCAGGGTTTCCACCAGCTCCTGCCACTCTATGGAAACCTTTGGTATGGTCGTCAGGAGTGCAGACTGCTCACCCAAACCCCATGCCTCCAACACCAACACGGCTTTTGTCCAGGGAAGAATTCTATAGAGAGCAACGACGACTGAGGGAAGAGGAGAAGAAGAAGTCCAGGCTAGATGAGTTCACCAATGGCTTTCTTGAGGCGTTGTCGGGGTGTGAAAAGATTCAGAGGAAGCCAGGGCACTCCTTTTCCAGGTCTAAATCTCCCTGGACTGGTTCATCGGATTCCAGAAGTCCCTTTGCTTCTTCCTCAAAGTCAAGATCTGGCTCCACACGGTCAAGCTCTTCCTCTGGATCCTGCAGCCGCCCACACTCTGGCTTCTCTTCACCATCACCTCGGTACCCCAGGAGAGGCAGAGGCGAGAGCCGTCCTCACGGTTCAGGGGCCAGGTCTCGACGATGTCATGGATCTAGGTCAAGGTCCCCTCCACACAGACGTTATCGTTCACGCTCAAGATCTCCTCAGAGAAGGTCCACTCCCTGTGACATCCAAACCTATTAAGGGCAGAGCGTTTTCGTCGAACTTAGAGACCACTTTGAGAAAGAACGCTCCCGGGAATGGGAGGGGAAATGCCTACCCACAGTGGTACAACAAGGACTACCGAGGGGATGCTGTGGGGGCACAGGCTTGACCCTCAGCTACCAGAGAAGACTTGTCTCCATAGAGACTTTCACCTCTTAATATCAGCAATTCACCCTTCCCAAGGGAGCCCAGAGAACACTGTGCTCCTGGACAAAGTCATAGACACAGAAATCGAGGAGACAACTATCCAGGAAAGCTTTCCATGCAGAGAGAGTCACAATCGCAGAGATAACATCAAATGGAAAAGGGACGTGTCTGCTATAGCCAAGAAAGAAAATGTTTTCAAACCTTCTAAAGGACCCTGAGAACAGGTGGATGGGGAGCGTGAAAACCTCTCCTAGGTCTGAACCTCCCCTTCCAAAAGCCAAAGAGCAGGCTGCAAAGACTGACTCTATGAAACTCTGATCTTGGAGTTAGCTGTATTGGGAGTGATGGCAGGATATCCTTGAGACCAGTTTCTTGGACTGGGTGTCTTGAGGGCAGCACCTAGCCTAGCATCTGATACTGTCTATTTTAACAAAAATATTGTTAAAAGAGGGCAAGGGAACGTGATCCTATCAGCTTGAGAGATGGAAAAATAAAAATAAAAGGTTCCTAAACATCTCATGACCCCAGTGTATTGATTTGTTTGCTTGTGTTTTCATTTTTGCTTATTTCCACTCCTTTTTGATATTTGATCCACACGGCAAGTTCTGCAGTCAACGTTATATCCTATGCGGCTGCTTCTTCCATTTGACTTTTTGTAAAGCATTGCCACAGTGGTATTGTGCCTGATTGGTCACATCTGCCTTTAGTTCTACTTTTTGCGTATCCTAGAAGTAGAGCTTTGAAATGGTAAATTCTTGTGTGTGTGTGTGTGTGTGTGTGTGTGTGTGTGTGTGTGTGTGTGTGTGTCTTGGGTAGCCTGGTCTCTAACTCCTCTGTAGTTGGGGGTGAGTGTGGTGATATTTTGTTTGTGCCCCAATCAAAAAAGCTTGCCTGAAGATCAGAGGGCAGATCCAGTCACTAGTTCAGCACAGAGGCCAGGGACTGTTGGCACCTAACTCTAAGCCCAGCACTTGGGAGGAGGAAGCAGGAAGATCAGGGTGGGGTTGGGCCACACCCTTAATCCCAGCCCTGGGGAGGTGGAGACAGGTATATAAGGCAGATGGAGACAGGATCTCAGCTCATTCAGTCTGAGGATTCCTAGAGACGGGATCTCCCCCTTTCAGCTGAGGCATTGAAAAGGTAGGTGAGAGTTGGCTGTGGATTGCCTCTTGGTCTCTCTGAACTTTGGGCATTTAGCGTCTGTGATATCTGGCTCTGGGTTTTTACTGTTGAAACCATTTAGAACTGGTGCTACAGCTGGTGCCCAGTGTGGGGCAAGAACCCAGGACCCCAAGATAAGAGTCTCTCGCTCTACCCCACGAGCGAGCTAGCTCTCTTGTGAGGCAGCATCTTTGAAGACAGGAGTTCAATCAAGGTCCCGGGGTGGACTTGAGAGCCAGCTGCAAACGCCAGGGTTCAGAGCGGCGCCCAGCCCACAGAATCCTCTGCCACCATGCCCTGTGTGCACTACAAATTTTCCTCTAAACTCAGCTATGACATGATCGTCTTTGATGGGCTCCATATCTCCCTCTGCGACTTAAAGAAGCAGATTATGGGCAGAGAAAAGCTGAAGGGTGCCAATAGCGATCTGCGGATCTTCAACGCAGAGACTGAAGAAGAATATACTGATGACAGTGCGCCAGTTCCTAAATACTCTTCTGTGATTGTCAGAAGAGTTCCTAGTGGAGGCGTTAAGTCGGCAAGGAAGACACCCGCTCTATGTAGAACTGAACCAGCGATGGGAACCACACAGGCAACCGTCGACTCTTGTGCATCTATTTCTCTGGCCCAGCTGACAGAGACTGCCAATCTGGCTGAAGCCAATGCTTCGGAGGAAGATAAAATCAAAGCGATGATGTTGCAATGTGGCCGTGAATACGACCCAATCGGTTCCGTGAGGAAACCTCTGGGTCCACCACCTCCATCTTCTACCTGTTTTCGTTGTGGTGTCCCTGGTCATCATATTAAGAGTTGCCCAACAAACGGGGATAAGAACTTTGAATGTGGCCGGAGAATCAGAAGGAGCACTGGAATTCCTACCAGTTTTCTGACTGAGGTGAAAGATGCTCACACGAAGGGTGCATTGCTCACGAGCACTGGAAAATAGGCAATCCAAACCCTAGATGCAGAGGCCTATGGGATCGGGAAGAATGAGAAGCCACCCTTCTTACCAGATGAACGGTCGTCGTTGTCGTCATCTTCATCATCATCTTCACCAGAAGAAGAAAATCCTGTTCCGGAGGAGCTCCTGTGCCTCATCTGCAAGGACATCATGGTGGATGCTGCTATCATCCCCTGCTGTGGAAACAGTTACTGTGACGAATGCATTAGGACAGCACTCCTGGAATCAGATGAACATAGGTGTCCAACATGTCGTCAGAACGATGTTTCTCCGGATGCTTTAACTGCCAACCAGTGTTTAAGACAGGCTGTTAATAACTTTGGAAATGGAACTGGCTATACCAAAGGACCTGGCAAACACTTCCCTCCACCCCCACCCCCAATACCACCACCGAGACCGCTGATTCAGAGCAGCCCGCAGCCTCTGGTGGGAACTCGGGTAGGGAGACAGCAGGATCCTCTGCGGATCCCAGTGACATCTTCCTCAGCACTCCCAGCTCCCTCTGTATGTTGGTTAACTTCAAGTCCGCCCCCCTTGGCTCCCTCTTTGCCTGGAACTGCATCCTCTGTGCCAGCTCCGGTACCTGATTTGACTGCCACAGTGTCTGTACCAGTCCATTCGGAAAAGTCAGATGGCCCTTTGCGGGATTCGGCTTATCAATTATCGCCAGCTGCAGCGGTGGAACCAGAACATTCCAAGGGAGCCTCCTGGGTTGCAACTGCTGCTCTTACTGAGGAAAAGGGTCACGAGGTGCCTGTCCTTGCAACTCCGTCTCGCTTGGCACAGTCATCATTGCAGGGCCAGGGGATCCCCACAACTGGTCCGGTCAGCCAAAATGCTGCTGCTCCTGCAGGTGGTGGACCACCAGGTTGGGGACATTTCAGGGAGCTTGGCTACCCGGTTCCTCCACCACAGCCAGTCAGAAGAGGGGAAGGAAGTTGTTACAGGAGCACAGAGCGCCACAGGCCACAGCACAGCCCAAGATCCCAGAGGGCTCAAGGCCCATCCCTGGCAGCAACTCCAGTCTCTGTGCCCCTTCCTCCAGGTGTCCCTCCCCCACACTTCTCTCCTGGCTTCCCTCCTGAGCAGCCCCAGTCTTCAGGATATAGTGTCCCTTGCCCAGGGTTTCCACCAGCTCCTGCCACTCTATGGAAACCTTTGGTATGGTCGTCAGGAGTGCAGACTGCTCACCCAAACCCCATGCCTCCAACACCAACACGGCTTTTGTCCAGGGAAGAATTCTATAGAGAGCAACGACGACTGAGGGAAGAGGAGAAGAAGAAGTCCAGGCTAGATGAGTTCACCAATGGCTTTCTTGAGGCGTTGTCGGGGTGTGAAAAGATTCAGAGGAAGCCAGGGCACTCCTTTTCCAGGTCTAAATCTCCCTGGACTGGTTCATGGGATTCAAGAAGTCCCTTTGCTTCTTCCTCAAAGTCAAGATCTGGCTCCACACGGTCAAGCTCTTCCTCTGGATCCTGCAGCCGCCCACACTCTGGCTTCTCTTCACCATCACCTCGGTACCCCAGGAGAGGCAGAGGCGAGAGCCGTCCTCACGGTTCAGGGGCCAGGTCTCGACGATGTCATGGTTCTAGGTCAAGGTCCCCTCCATACAGACGTTATCGTTCACGCTCAAGATCTCCTCAGAGAAGGTCCACTCCCTGTGACATCCAAACCTATTAAGGGCAGAGCGTTTTCGTCGAACTTAGAGACCACTTTGAGAAAGAACGCTCCCGGGAATGGGAGGGGAAATGCCTACCCACAGTGGTACAACAAGGACTACCGAGGGGATGCTGTGGGGGCACAGGCTTGACCCTCAGCTACCAGAGAAGGCTTGTCTCCATAGAGACTTTCACCTCTTAATATCAGCAATTCACCCTTCCCAAGGGAGCCCAGAGAACACTGTGCTCCTGGACAAAGTCATAGACACAGAAATCGAGGAGACAACTATCCAGGAAAGCTTTCCATGCAGAGAGAGTCACAATCGCAGAGATAACATCAAATGGAAAAGGGACGTGTCTGCTATAGCCAAGAAAGAAAATGTTTTCAAACCTTCTAAAGGACCCTGAGAGCAGGTGGATGGGGAGCGTGAAAACCTCTCCTAGGTCTGAACCTCCCCTTCCAAAAGCCAAAGAGCAGGCTGCAAAGACTGACTCTATGAAACTCTGATCTTGGAGCTAGCTGTATTGGGAGTGATGGCAGGATATCCTTGAGACCAGTTTCTTGGACTGGGTGTCTTGAGGGCAGCACCTAGCCTAGCATCTGATACTGTCTATTTTAACAAAAATATTGTTAAAAGAGGGCAAGGGAACGTGATCCTATCAGCTTGAGAGATGGAAAAATAAAAATAAAAAGCTCCTAAACATCTCATGACCCCAGTGTATTGTTTTGTTTGCTTGTGTTTTCATTTTTGCTTATTTCCACTCCTTTTTAATATTTGATCCACACGGCAAGTTCTGCAGTCAACTTTATATCCTATGCGGCTGCTTCTTCCATTTGACTTTTTGTAAAGCATTGCCACAGTGGTATTGTGCCTGATTGGTCACATCTGCCTTTAGTTGTTCCAATTGTGTATCCTAGCAGTAGAGCTAGATATCAAAAATTCTTTTTTAAATAAGAGTTTTATATATGCTGGTGTCTAACTCCTTTGTTGCTGAAGATGAGTGTGTGAACACCAACTTAAAAAACCCTAGTTGAGGCTCCCACTATTGACTCTGTAAATCTTCAGAAGAA